TCTGTTGTAGTGTTTCGTGCTGTGGTCCATTACTCCAAGACACAAAGAGCCCAGCAGTAATCTCGCAGCTCCCAGCTGACTTCCTGGAGCCTGGCCTGCCTTGCCCAAGCCAAACTGTGTGGTGTCAGGTTGGAAGCAAAAAATATCACTGTTGGTAGCAGTGATGTAGTAGCATGAAAGTAGAATTTGTTATGAATGTGAGGACTTGAATTCTCAGCTAACAGGACAGTCTCCCCTTGAAAACCATTAAGAGCCAAGCTGGTCAAAAAGAAAAAAAATACCACATACTTTAAATAACTTCTCCATCAATTTAGAAATGCAGTCACTGACTTTTTCCATATGCTGTTTCAAAAAGATGATTTTCAAATATCAAGTTAGGATAATGGATATTTTTCAACATCCAAAAAAACCAAAACAATAAAACATTTTTCATAAAGGTATTTCTTGCAAATCAAGGCAAATGTTCACTAATTTTTCTATGATTCAATGATTAACCGTGAATTGAACTGTTCAGCTTTTTCTGCCTCACATCGTCAATGAGTAAGACTGTGTCAAAGCTACAACCATCTTTCTGACACCAGGCTCAGAGCTTTTAGAACTGTTATATTAAAAGAAAAGAGAGTAAAAAAAAAAAGAAATGAAAATCATGACTTTTATGCTCCTCCTAAGTAATGGTCCTCACTGTGGGTAGGCACACAATGCAGCTATAGCACACTGGGCTTTCAGATCAGATTAGCTGCAGAGCATACAGTAATTTTTTTCAGATTCCTGCGTGGCATGTGGCTGGTTCTCTTTTCTACGTCATATTTTAATAGGCAAATTATTAGAAAAAGCCTAAGTGTAATTTTTCATATTGGAGATCATTTTTCATTTGGAACCCATTGCGTCTAAGTGGTTTCTGCTTTGTTTTGAGCTATGTGCCACGTGTCACTCAAATATTTACTTTGCATATGAAAGCAACTCATCTCTAGATCTTATCTGAAAAGAACGATGTTTCATATTTGAGTCACATTTATCCTTCTTGTGTAATCAGTGCTCTAAGAAATATGTTGCATTCAGACACCAAACAGGACAGGCAAGTTCCCAGTCAATAGGATGTATGCTCAGCTACGGTAAACTGGCATTTTAATTAGGAAAAGGAATTTTTTCTACCAGCATGTATTTATGGTAGACAATAGCAGGAATATTCACAGACATTGAGATTTCTTGAATTACAAAACACTCCCAGCTCCAGATAACATTGACTGCAAGCAAATGCCTGCTGGTGTAAACAGGAGGGGAATTGTGTACACAAGGTCCCTGCTTTTTATAACCGTAAGGATGGTTCAGATTTTTCTCCAAGCTTTACTAGGCAAGGTCCTTTATTCATTGTTAGTTTTCCAGCAGCAGAGAAACTATATCAAAATACGGGTTATCTGTAATAAGATATACATTTAAATTTGTTTTTGTCATGCTTTAACAAAGGTTTCAGTCAACTGGGCTAGACCCTGAACACAAACAGCAAGAAAGAGACAATCATGCTTCAAAGAACATACAATCTATTTAAAAGGGAGCAAAGAGAGGAACACATCTCACAGGTTCATCCACCCAGAAGTTAGGAGCACAGTGTGAGCCAGTTGGCTGAGGCCCCACTAAAGACAACGGAGAGACACAGAAAACTCCACTGTGCTCCATTCACCCTCACACATGGCATGAAGAAGGCCTGGCCATGGAAGAGAGCTGCCCTGTCCTAGGGGCTTGCTCAGGACATTCTTAGTCTTGGGCCAGGCTCCAAACCTCCCTGAGCTTTCACTGGGGCAGCTTCCCCACAATATTGCCTTATATATGGGCCTGGGTAGGGCTCAATATCCAGAAGAGCTCTGGCTTCACCAGCAGCTGTGCAGGAATCTCCAGGTGAGGTTTTACAGCCTGTATCATACACAATGATCCTTCTGATCTTAACTCCATGGTTACAACATCCACAGTCAGAACTAGGGCAATCAACTACATGTAGGAAAAAAAAATACCTTGAATCCAGTTGTCCCATCCTATGAGATGACAGGAAAAAAGCCCCCAGATAATTGTCAATGTAGCTCCTACATGCAACGATATAAAGATAGGAAAAGCAATCAGCTCTGATGGATTCATTTATAATGATTATTACACCCTTGTTTTTCTCTGATAGCATACATGATATTCAGGGGATTTATATAATTATTCAAAGGGACTGATACAATCTTTCTCTTTGCTAAGTATCACACTGCTCCTCTTAGAGCAAACAGCATAATTAAGATTGCAAAAGAAAGCCAGTGATATGTGTGTAAACAGAAGTTTAAAATCACTCACTTCCCCTCCAGGCTGAAGAATCATGATGAAGTTGGTGGGTGACCACAGCAGGGAGGGAAACATGTATGGCAGGAGGGTCCTTGCATTCCCTCATCTCCCCTGCAATAAGGAACACGTGCATGCCCAGTGCCACTCGGAACAGGTGGAACAGATCTGGCTCTCACATCAGTGCCTGCCTCCTGTGTGCCCATAAACAGCCCTAAGAGCTTAAACAGCTTCAGGTTCTTTCATGAGCGTCAACTTGGCAGAATGTTAAGCATATTAAAGCTGTTCTAAATATTTAAGCACTTAAACCACCCTACACCACAGTGAGAATTTCTTGTCCATGAGTGCTTTTGGATGGATTCATGGCTTCATCAATTTTTCTCCTCTAATCTTCGGGGGGAAAAAAAAAAGACACACCCTCCCCCCCCAAGAAATGGGCCCTTTCTCCCACAGATTAGTTTCCCACATAATGGTAGTGTCTCTGATTGCAATGTTACAGTCACTGAAATGCAAGGAATGAAATATATCAGGGCTAGTGATTACCATCTTCACACCAAAAACAAGAACAATATACATAATTACTAAATTAGCAATTTTATATGTCAATGTGGAAGAGGGGAACTATGTCTGAGACTAAACTTTGTGCCCCCTAGAACACCGGGTATGTGTTCAGAGAAAAAAATATTTCAAAAAAGCTACAGTCTCACAATATCCTACCACAAAGAAATAATAATTTGATATGCAACCATGGTGATCCTAAAATCTATCTTTAACCTACCTTATCAAATGTTTCCATGAACAACAGAAAATCCAGTCTGTGCCAAGCATCTGCCTGGTTCCCCCCAGAGCTGTGCAGGAGAGAAGGGGAGAGAGGCACAGACAGCCCCTGCAGCACACACCCCAGGAGCAGCTCCTCTTCCCAGCCCAACACGCTATGGACACTTACCTCGAAAACTGAGAGAAACACATGCACTTCTTGGTACCCACAGCTTTTTTTCCCATATGTACATACATGCTTACAAAGCTATTGCTGAGGTTCAAATCCCAGAGGACCATCTCACAAGTATAATTTCACAGATATTTAGCTATCGTATATATATACACATAAATAGAAGGGACTATCGTCGACTCCATTTTGTTTTACAGGTGTTACTTTTGACACTTCTCTCTTTTCTTTCTTTAATACAGTCTTTTCACTAGACCCTAATGAACATGTAGTGACTAAACCTAATCCAGCCTCTGTCTATACTAAGTTCTACTATGGAACTCCCTAAAGGTTAAGAGCACATTATGTGCTTCTCTAGTGGAGATGTGGCACTTCCCAGAGGGGACCACAACTACTTTGATGGTGGTCAAATGTAAATCATGGCATGAGTGTAGTGTATAAAGTGCTGAGCCTCCATTCTTGCCAGCGAGGCAAACCTGATGCAAGTGCTCTGCACCTGGTCCTTCAAGTCTGGATGAGAGGCAGGTGATGGGCTTTCACCACTAACACCACACTATCCATTAACAAGAGAAATCTCTGTTCCAAAGAGTTTCCAAGTTATGGTGACAAAACGGGCATGAAAACTCAACTGTTCACTCTCTTCTTCCTTTACCCATTGGCAGTTGCTCAGCTGTAACTTACTATTTTGCCAATTATTTTGCAATCCTGACCTCTCAAGGTCAGGGGCTTCCTGCACTGCTGCAGCCCTTTCTTGAGTAAGACTTTGTTTGCCCAGGAGCTGAGTAAACAGTGTGTTTTGGACTGGTGATGTGATTGTCCCAGACAAACCAAATACATCATGCTCTCTCCTTGTCAGGAGCACTGTGGATGGGCTCCTGTTGTGGAGAACAGTCTTTGCACAAAGCAGTTCCACAGTGTTTGGATGAAGCGAGAATGATCCTTAGTAAGAAGTTCACGTGGCCACCATTATATTTGGAGATGCCAAATCTGTGGGATCCGGGAATGTGTTTTCCGTTTTGTCTTTGTTTCTCACCATTCAAATGTATTTTAATTTGCAATGAATTAATTTTCCCCAAGTCGAGTCTGTTTTTCCCATGATGATAATAGTGATCTCCCTGTCTTTATCTCAACTGAAGAACACTTCATCTTATTTTCATTCCCTGTACTGTTGAGGACAGTGAGAGTGTCAGGGTGGGCATCTGGCAGCTGACCACAGTCAACTCACCACAGAGACCAAGCATCTGTTTACAAAAAGTCCAGTTCAGCTACCAACCTAGTTACCAAGGATATCCCAGCAATAATCATGTCAATGGTTACCACCCTGCACAGATATCTTTGCTGATCTAAGCACAAACGCTTAATCCCAGGGAGTTAAAGTGATCATTGACTTTGATAACAAAATATCAGAGCCCATATACAACTGTACCTATGGCTTTTCTTCATCCTCTGTGATGGGCTGTACAGAAGCACAATGGGTTGGGATATACATTTTTCTCCGCTGTCCTCATGTTAATCCTGTGCTGCTTCTAATTGTCTTCATCTAGCTTTCAGGTTAGCATGAAGTAAAATTTCTGGGATATTAGAAAACTCTCTGAGAAAAAACTCTGGTGCAAGCCTGTCACACAACATTCCTTTTGCTGCAGAGCAGGTGTGAGCAGTAGGCTGGGACTGCTGGCGAACTGCGGTAATTATACACTCTCTACCAACCCGACTCGCTCACGTCTTCAACTGGATACGCTACTGAGGCAAGACAGCAGGTCATGTCACCGGTCATGTGTGCTGCTTTTCTTTCCTAGACGCATCACAAGGACATGGGTGAAGTGATCGGCTTTTGAAGTGTTTTTTCCCCTCGGATTTGCCAGAGCTACCTAAAGGTAAGAGCTTTCAAGTTACTTGGGATCAATACTAGGATTACTCCCTAGGAAATAAGGAAAAGGAGATGGCAAGGATCAAATCAGACAGTGAGGTCAAGGAGTAGGACAGTTCTGGCTCTCGGTTGTAAATGTTAACTCTTTATGTAAGCTCTCTCTCATGTTCCTAAAATATGGAGCTATAGATTTTTCTCAAGATATTTTAACTTTCTCCTAGAACAGATCAGAGATGGATAATCAGAAAACCTGCTTTCTGACAAGGTGAAGCTGAAAACAGTAGTAAGAATGGAAAATCAAAATAATACACCATAGGAAAGGGCTTAGTGGGGACACACCTGCTCTCTTCAAATGAATGTTTGTTCATAATAACTTTTAAAAAGTTGCTAAACAAGGTCCAGATGCTACATGACATGTTACTTAAGCTGTTCTATCAGTTTTCAATTGAAGGACAAGTTATGGACATTATTTCAATGTGGGTATAAATGAAATGCTGGCTGCCCATGATTCAATGCTGTTGGTAAGGGAGTGCTAATCCATAAAAGAATTAAATGAAAAGATGGCAACTATCAAATGTTAAGGTAATGATGAAGTGCTGGAAACAATTGTGTAAGGCTGCCCTAAATTTCGACAGCTAGAAGAGAACATGAAAGACAAAATTGTGTCACTAGAGGACACGCTGAATCTAAACTCCATATTTCCTCCGTTCTGTTGTTTCCTCAAGTCTGAAGGCAAGGCATAACGAAATTTGGACCATGTCACTGCAGAATGGTCACAGTGTCTCCCTGATACAGTACTTCTCTATACAACGTAGTTGAGAAAAACCAAGAGTAATTAATTTGCTCATTGCCACTGTTGCAGAACAGGAGCTGAACCCATCTTTTCCCCCCCCTCAGTCCAGGTTAATGCACAAACCACTGGACAATACTTCCTTTTAGTGGTTAGCACTCTATTTTTGGAATGGTAATTAAGGAGGGACAAGTTCTAATGTAATCCCAGGGCCCAGTTGTGCTCATCCTTCAGAATACAGGCCCTTTAAATGTGAATGAAGTTGGTCATCTGAGAGAAGCAAGGGATTATACCTCAAACAGTAAATTAAAGAACAAGATTTAAGAGATATATCTGGTTGGCATCAAAGGTTAACACAAAAGTCAGTGATGGAGCTTATTCAGAATTTTAATTAATAACCTTGACAGAAATATAGGAGTGGCTAATAAAACGTATGAATGAAAAAACAAGTAATGGAAGCAGAAAATCTATTACACAGAATGATAAAACCTAGAGAATTGCTGTGACAGAATTTATATGTATTATAATGCTACAAAGCAGTGCATTTAGAAAATTATATTGGGAATTTCAGCTACAGGCTGGGAGTTCATTAGCACGAAATGACATTGGAGGAGAAAGACCTACTGCTGGTTAATGACAGCATAAATACAAACCATCAGCATGATGGGGCTGTGGAAAAGAAGTAGTGCTACTGGATTATTCTAAAGACAGCATTTCCATTAAATGTAAGATGACATTCACATCATTATATATGTTGAGGACAGAGCTCATTGGCCACTCATGGCCAAGAAGGCTGAATTCACTGTACAGAAATGAGGACTTGGCAAGGTCGCTTAGCCCTGCGAAGGAAAGGCTGCAGAGAGACAGGAATGTTCTCTGGGCTCTCTTGAAGGGAAAAGGTTTTCCTATAAAAGCATGACGCTGGCACAGTAACAAACAGGAATAAACTACCATCAATAATTTTAGGCTAGAAGGTTTGTGAAAGTTTACAGCATTTTCAACTGCGTTAGAGGTGAGAGCAACAGGAGCAGTAAATGTACTAAATTATAGACCAGAGCTCCCTTCATGAAGGAATAACCTAACATAAATGTCTGACCAGGGACAGGACTGAAAAATCCAGGGATTCCCTGCCTATCCAGCAGCCTTGTGAGCCCACATAGGCAGGGCCAGGCTGCTGATCTGCATGCACAAATGCTGCAGCTTCCTGCCAAGCACAATAACCACACAACCAACCTTCCAGGCACACATCACAGCAAATAGACACTGGTTTACACTTAAAAACAAAAAAGAAAAACCAAAAAAACCTCAAAACACTAACAAAAAACCACCAAAAAATCCAAAACAACAAAACAAAACCAAATCCCAAATCCTTCCAAATCTCTTTCTCCAAAATGGAAAAAGAGCAGAGCTCTTTCTTTCTCGGTAGAGCTCTGTTCTCCAACATTTCACTCTTCAGTATATGCTTCCTCCTGATTTTGTGAACAATGGTTATGCTCATTTTACTCTAAACTTCCACGTAAGCCATGGGGACTTGGATTACACATAAATATCTCCCTTTCCACACGAGAGGAGGAACAGTATCTACACAGTGACTTTCTGGATTCTGCCCAACTCCCTGGCTCAATGACAAAAACATCCTGATGACTTCAACAGATGAACAACCAACTTCTTCCACTGACCAAGCAGTGACTTTACATATTGGCTAGTGAGTCAGTGCAGTCAAAAGACAAGCCAGTGGAATCAAGTGAAGAGCTTGCAACAAGAAATACAGTTCATCTTCAGTTGCATCCCCCCTAGCTACATCCTCTCTGTTTGAGAAAGGAAGCTGGTAAGCCTTATACAGGCCTAAAAGCCAGAATAACTGGAGGATTAAAAATGAAATCTGGGAAGAAGAATGGGGAACTGGAAGACCATCCTTCATCTCATTGAAAAGGTTCTCTACTTCAGAAATCCTGAATACATTTTAATGTCCAACTTTTAATTTGTTGCCAGTAGCCATCTGCTTCTATTTTAAGAATAGGAATAAACAAATACCTGAATGCTGCTCATTTATGTTTATCTGCATTAGAGCTGGAAATGTTCCTTCCTGAACATCTGAAAAGCCTCAGCACATTATGAATGTTACCATAAATGACCAACTTGAGGCTAAAGGGAAAAGATCTCTCCACTGAGGAATTCAGTGTTTCATTGCTACCTGAAAACTAGAATTAACTGCTTCAATAAAGTAAAACAGAGGCACTCAATATTGTTCAAGCCACAGATGCAAATGCATGCCAGCAATGGCATTTTATGGTCACTCTTTAAAATAGCAGAAATTGAAACTGTCTCATAAATGCAGCTGGAAGGGCTAAATGCCCAAGAAAAAATTAAACTAGTGACGACAGAACAAGAACACATTACAGCAAACTGAAAGCCTTTGGACTAGTATCCTACAAGTCAACAGATCACCAGCGAAAACTGCTATACATCCATGTGTCCATGATATCTGAAGATCACTTACTGTATTGTTATAACATTAATCTTCCAAAATACAAAACTTTTGAATGTATTACCCTATCTTCTTCAAATACCTAAATGACTTCATCTTTCCTCCACTGCTTCAACCAGAATAGAGAGAGGCTGGTGCCAAACACTTTCAAAAACTTTTTAGGAACTTCATTTGGAGTCTGCAGTACAAGATCAACAATTAACCTTCTTGATAAAAAAAGCCTCAGTTAAAAAAAAAAAAAAAAAAAAGATTAGTAAATGTTTAAGTAAATCTTTGTCTGCTCTCACAGAAGTATCACACAATTTTTTTTTAACTAGGCCAATCTATTTCTGACGAATAACTGCAACAGAACAGAATACCAAGGTAAGGGAAATGTTACCTGGACTCCGATACATGCGTACCTGCCAAATCCCATCTGCCTCCTCTTTTTTTCACACTATAATTTCTGAATCTGAGTGGAGAAGAATTAGTACTGCAGTGAACTTCAATTCTCAAATGAAATTGTAAATACTTCATTGGCACAGGCTCATAAGACTAAAACAAAGAGGCATCGGCACTCAAGTAATGAGATTTCTGAAATGACTGTTGAGTAGTTCCCAGTTTGTGTTCTGCTGAGCTGTACCTGGGTCAACATGGACATGAATCCCTCGCGACTCTCCAGGCTCACGAATGCTTCCATTTCAAACACCACAATGTCACCTTTGAAGAAGTGTTTGTGGGAAAAGCATGTTTCCAAAGAACTTGAAATCAAACTGGAAAAAGTACTTCTGAAAGGTGAAAAATGATTTGCATAGACAGGACTGTCTCTCTGCCCACCTCTGTGAACATGCAGCACATGAAAAACCTTTTGGAAAAATACAACAAAGAGGATAGGAAAATCATCGTTCTCTTTTCAAATCCTTGAACCATACCTGGGAGGCCAAAGGACAACTGTCAGGATTGTCCTCCATGCGTCTCAGTTTCCCCTTTACAAAGCACAAGTGACAGCACCCGTGCCTCTTTGCAGGCACACGTCGAACTGTTCTCATCTGTGGGATTATTCAGCCATCAGGGATGTTTGGGAGGGAATGTGAAGGGGGCAGGTGAGAGCTGGAGCATGGGGCCCTGCCATGGAATTTCACAGTTCAGCAGCTTTGCTTGGCTGCCTGACGAGTGCTCTTCACACCAGAACACAAGTGCCTGGAGCAAATCCAGAGGAAGATGATGGAAACTGCCATTTCCTATTCTCCCCTAGGATATGTCCTTCCTGGAACATAAAGGCTTTGTCATTTCCACTTTCCTTTCACTGAACTGGTTCTTTGTGCATATGCCTCAGGGTGTGATTTGCTGCTTTTTTTTTTAATACTAATTTCCACAAGACCTCAAGTAAGCTTTATTTTCCTGTGCAAATCGATTATACCCATATGTAGAAGAGACTGAGACCTCAGAGGAGAGAAGGCAGACTCATTTTGGTGTGCCTGGGACTATACATTTCTGCCAGTAGGTCAAGCTTGCAGTTGCTCGAGTCAATCTCGAATGCTTCACATAAACCAAGCCGCCACTTCAGGAGTGCACAGGGCTGTGCTCTGCCCTCACAGAGAGCTCCATTTAACTCGGTGTGACTGCAGTGAAGATAACTTAAACCACCCCCCTAGCTATTAAGCATGGGCATTCTAGATGTTACTGGTTTTTGGAAGGGAGTTTATCAGGACATTTTCCTACTCTTCAGGAACTGCTACCTGATATTTCTCCTTATGAGTTTTTCCTAGGGCTACTAACAGTGTTTGTTCTCTCCTGCACATGATTGAATTTGAGAGAGGAGAGGAAAGTCTATAGCTCTAATCTATGACAATAACACTTTCAGGATTGGGGGTCACAGCCCCAAAGATCTCTCAGACATCACAGGCATGGATGCAACCAAGAACTTAGAGTAACCCATATACACCAAATGAAACAGTCTACTGAGTTGCATAAAACACCCTAGAGAACGCATATCCTGGACCTCTGGACTTTGGGCACTCTGCACCAGGGAGTAAGGTACCCGCTGGGCCTTTCTCCCAGGTAGGCTGAAGAAGCTTCTGCAGAAGCTGAGGCCCAGCTGCCCATCCAATTCTCCCAGCTCATCTGCTCTGGGGCAGGTCCTCCATCACAACACACAGAGCTACTGGCAGCACAATAAGAAGCACATAACAAGACACTGAAAGCAAGCAAATGCAGGGCACCAACTTCATCAACAGCCTAAGGCCCAGAGCTTCTGTGCTTGATGGCTCTAATAGATCAAACACAGACCTGGCATCCAGTGGGAGTCCCACACTATTCCTGGCTCTGCTGCTGATTCACTTCTGCATCTCTTGTCCTATACATTTAACTGGCAGTATTATACTAATACCTCACTGGGTGGGGCAAGGATTAGTCAATGTTTGCTTGCATTCAGCTCTTAACTGCAACTCTCTCACTACGTTAACCACTATTATTCCCTCCTACTCTGTGCCTCATGACAGGCCTTTTGCCTGGTCACTGGATGAAATTCAAAAGCCCCTTCCTCTTTTCTTGTTTTACAGTGAGATGAATTCAGCAGAAACGTCACACAAACTGACACCACCCAGTATTTAGTGTATGGTGTTTAAGTACCAACATAGCAATAAGCCAAAAACTTGAAGAGGCTCCCTATAATTTTGCCCACTAGTTCCTGTCCCAAGGAAATAGCCCTTGGCCAACACTGGCTAGTGCAAAGCTGTCTATCATCACACTCCTGAACCACAGTTACAGCTGACACAGTCTTTCTTCTGCATAGTTCATTATTCTTGCTTAGCTCTCATAGCTTCATCTTATCCAAGTTCTCTTGATTCTCAGCTTTTCTTTTTTCCTCTCAGTGGGATCCTCATGAAACTTCAACAAAAGCCTATTAATACCTGTGACATTCCACATCACCTGTTTTAGCTCCTTTATAACAAGTATACCGAGATGTACCTTTCCCCATCCCTCCTCTCCAATCCATATATTAGTAATTTGCTCCAGCATCTTTAGCCTTAATGTGGCCAATGCTGCATTTCTGACTTTGATTCCACACCATCCTACCTATTTCCTTTTATTATTCATTCTACTATAATTTTCTACATCACTTCCCATTCATGCAAATTTGTGGAAATTACATCACTTCTTCCCTAGTGATATTTTCCATTTCCTCCTTTTCTTCCTCCCTAAAAGGACTGACACTTTATCTCAGCACTACTAATCCCCCCTCTTTTGGCCTCCCCTAGACATACTGCACCTTGAGAACAGACCTGTTGAGACCATCTTGCCTTGTTGAACAATTTCTGTCCTACTCCGGTTTGACTCACGTACTCAGGCAGCTTGTGCTGACTTGCCAAATGCTACATTTCTCAGTCTCTACTTGCTTATCCAAGCGTCTCTTAACAATATAACCCCTCACTTTTGCATCACCAGTGAGCAGGTGAGATGGGAACAGCCCTGATCCAAACCAGGGAAGGTGTCTGCACGGGGACACAGGACATTTAGCTAGACTGCAAGGAGCTATGTGGAGTTACCTGAGCAGCCAGTAAACCTGCACTGGACTCATTTAGTAGCTCTTCACAAACATCTTTGCTTCTTTTCCCCCAAAAACTACCCTTCCTTGCTAACCTGTGTGAAGGCTGTAACATTCTTCTGCAAAGGACTCCTGTGGTTAACGTTAGTAGGAAATCAACTAGTTAATACTGGTTCAAGGGACAGCTAGGAATAATTAACACCATTCCATTTACAGTAACACAAACACACATCTTTACCTGTATCCTCTTCCTCCCACTCCTTCACTGGGAAGGATAGCTCCTGCTAACACCTGCAAAACACACATATTTTGTGGCCTGATCTTGTTCAGAGCCTCAGGCAGCACAGTCATATTTAATAATGATCTTTCCCAAGAAAAGCCTGTCACACTAGTGATGAGACAATAGTTTCACAGTACAGAACTGGTCACAGTAACGATGATGATAAGGTTGCACAATAACCCGACGAAAGACAGAACTGAATTGCCACTGGTTGCACTGTTGCAGGCTCTGACTTAATGACACGTGAAGGTTTTTCACAGGTGCTCCAAAGTGTGCTCTTACCCTCCTTGATTATTTTGACAATCCATAGAAAAAAAATAGGTTAGTTTTTCTGCAAAGGTAACACTTTCAGTCATGAGTTTACACACTTTGAATAGTGTGTTCTCTGGGGGAACATTTTTCCCCTCTCCAGCACAAAGGAATATGTTAAGATGGTATTTTTCTGCTCTACCTTTTCATCTTCCTCATCATGAGGTGTAACAGGAATTGGCTGCACTTCAGTCTATAAAAAAAGCCAGAATATGAGAACTGCTAATTCTCTTCTAAGTAAAATCCGAGTGTGAGAACCAAGAATTACGGAAGCAGGCATTGACAAAGACAGGGCACTGAAAGTCACTTACAGCAGATTTTCTTTTGCACTACTTTCGGCAGGTGAACTGCAGAGATGCCTAGTGAGAAGGGACGTGTGGAAATTCCTATGATTATGTATGAACCTCGTCAGGAACCCTATGCACCAGAACCCTCCACACCAGAGTACTGCAGCCAAGAGGGTAAGCAGCTTTTGCCAGCAGGGTTTTGGAAAGAGCAGCCTCTGGGTGGTTGTGGGGCAAACATTGATAGTTGGTTTCCGGAGCATAACTGAGTCAGCTGATAAGGGGTCCAGCTTTGCCAGGACATGACGGGTTTAGAAAGTGCCTTTGCCAGCATAGAAAAAAGAGGTAGACAGGCTGGTAGGCTCTCCCAACAGGAACATCACTTAAAATGTCAAAAAATATTTTTGTTGGTTTAGTTAATAATTTTTCTAACACCACATGCTTTATTGGAAAAGGAATTGCAATTTTATCTCTGGAATAATTTAATATTCCTAACAAGCAAATGTTCAGCCAGCAAACTTTGTGCACGGACAGGCTATATCTTGCTTAAATTGTAATCTAGTTTTCCAGAGGACTGGCCTTTTCCCAAACTCCCCTGGCTGGCCAGAGCTGCCCTCCCTAGATGAGTCAGTTCTGCAGCCAGGTTCTTTAGGGACAAACAATCCCTCCCCATTGCTGTCTCATGGGGACACACCATGACTGAAGTGCTGGCAATTCAGCTCAAGGACTGCAAGTGAGCACCACCAGCCTGGTGGCTTGATACCACATCCATGCTAGCTGGCTGTAAAGTTTTATTTTGAATGTATTCATTAATGTATTTTTTAATATGTTCATTGATTTCATGCTCAGGTCAGCTGATTGCATTCTCAATTTCTAAGATTAGTAAAAGAACTAAAAAAACATAAGGTGTCTTAGTCACCACTTCCCTTCTCCCTTATCCACAACAAAACAAAAAAGATCTTTAACTTTTTTCTAGAACAAAGGGTGTGCTAAAATTACTTGGATGGAGGCTGAGGGCAGACAAAATTCAAACTAGAAAAACTCTAAATACTAATAGTAAGGGAAGTAATCACTTAAACTAGTTAGAAGTACTGGTGGATCCTTTATCAGTAGAGTCCTTAAATTAAGACTAAGTATCATTCCAATGTTATACTGGAACAGATGCAGTTACTGCCTTTGTGTTGAAAAAAATACTCTGTTTCTTAGCTTGTGTTATACAGAAAGTGAGATTAGCTAATCACTGTGGGCTCTTTTGGCTTTAAAAAAAATAATCCATTAGTCAGTTCAGTAGTATTTTTTCCCTGTCCTGTACTTCACTGACCCGTGTCAGGTCTCTCCTGTGAGGCAACTCCCCACGCAGCTTCTCATCGGACTCCAACAGGGGCTTTTGGAAGGCACAAGCTGTTCACATTTTTACCTTTTGCCCTGTTTTTCTTTGCACAGGGGGTTATGAGTATCCTTCTCCCCCACCTTACTCCTACCGAGAAACAACGACCATTGAGCAACCAGGTAAGTGCCAGGGGACTGCATTTCTGACAACGTTCATGGTTCTAAATGCTAACAAAAGTGAAATGTTTTAGTTTTAAAATCAACAGAGAAGTTTTTTGACCCAATCACAATCTAAGAGGCTGGAAAATTTCCCTAGAAATGTTGGAAGATAAACTAAGATGAGAGACTCAGACTCATTTTTCCAGCATTAGCTGATCTACAGAAGCACTAATTTTTTTAAATCCTGCTAGGACTTTCACAACAAATCATTTAAAGTCCAGTATAGGTGGTTGTTCCTGTTCTAGTCACCTTTATGGAAGTGGAGAAGCTCAAAGGAGACACTGTGCAAAGAATTCCAAGAACAGCCAAATAATGTCTCTTACTGGAGGGAAGGAGATACATACTTTTTTAAAATCCCTAAGATCAGAAGGCAATTAAACTTAGATATGCTACATCCTGTCTATCTAACAGACCATACCTTTTTTTTTCTTCAGACTACAGTCTGAATGTACCCTAAACTTGTTTTAGGATGCTTAAAAACGTACTTTTCACTGAAAAAAATCCTGAAAAAATACCCTTCATGTACATACAAGGGGTGTGCCCCTCAAGGAGTATGACAGGTCCAGACGGAAAAAACATGAGGGAAGCCACAGACTTTACAAACGGGTTAGAATAACTACTTTGATAAATTCCTTGTACCTACTGAAAAGCTGATCCAGAAAGCTCCCCTATATCCTTCAAATCTCTTCTTCAGGGAGAATATGCATTTTCATATTATTTTAAATATCAGAAGATAAATTCTCAGTGTCAGTGTACATCCAGCAGTGGGTAGTGGAGACTGCCTGACTATAGGGATTATCCCATAGGCAATTCTCTGTATATGTCTTTATCCAAATAAACACTGGCTGCTGGTAAAAGCAACATACTGGGATACACACAGAAGCAGGACAGATGTTCTTATGAATATACTTGAAATAAGTAATAGCAACATGGGTGCCTCTAGAATAGCCATGTTAAAGAACCTATATTCTCCAATTAAGACTTTATAACTTGTAAAAGATTTCTCGTGCTTCTAATTTTGCTGCTTCTCATTTCCTCTCCAACTCAGTTTACTTGGTGTCTCAGCCTCCGATCATTGTAGCAGGAATCTTCTCAAGCAAACCAACATCCACAATATGCCCTTCCTGCCGCCAGCACATCACCACACAGGTCACCTACAGACTGGGCAGACTGTCCTACCTTCTGTGCACCAGCTTGTGTATGGTTGGGTAAGCTTTCATGTATACTTGGAATATTTTTCATAACAGAAGATTAAAAAAAAAGAGTCATTAAAAAAAGTAAAGTTCTAGCTAGCGCTTATATAGACAGTTTGCCCTTTTCTAATGGATAAGAAGTCATTCTGTCCGTACTAGATACAGTCATCACAGCTACTGGGGATGCAAATTCGCTAAATTTAACCAAGTATGTTATGACTTCTCATAAGACAGGCAAAAATTGGTACAACATTGTCTACTTCCTTACTGTAATTTAGAATCAGGCTCAGAATCAGAATAATGCATAAGATGTTAGCAGTGAAAATGATTAATTTTTTGAAAGATACTTCAACATTAAGAGACTGGAAAGAAGTGAATTCACGCAGTGAAAAGGCAGACAGAACAAGACAAAGAAAAAGCACAGATGTAGCCAGCAGAAAGTCAGTAAACCATTCCATGTATGTCCATCTCTTTGGCTGTTAGGTGCTGTTTTGGATGCTGCTTCGTACCTCTCTTTGTAAGGATCTTCAAGGATGCAGACCATTACTGCCCATGCTGCCAATTTCATATTTATAGATACAAAAGACTATAGAAACAAAATTTATGCAACCAGATGATGTCAAGTCTCTCTTTCCTAATGGCACAAGATTCTACAGATAAAACTACTGCTAGGAAACATACAGGAGTAGGCTTAGGATCTGCAACTCCTTTGCCAGTGAATCCATCTGGAGTTTACCATCATGTGGTTGGACTGACTTTAAAGCAAAAAACTTTGAAGACTAATTTACAGTGTCACTTGAGTTTATGCTCTATTTGAATCGTTGTCCTGAGCAGTGAAGTGACCAGCGCTACTAATCCTTCTCTCAAATCTCCAACCCAGCTGGAACACAGACTCTCCTGGACTTTTCAACATACCAGTAACCGAAAGGTTGTGACATGCACGTTTTAGAGAAGCACTTACCTTCCAGATGCACTGGAACTGACCAGTCAGGATTTCATTTCTCTCTGCTCTTCTTCATATGGGACCTACCCTCGCAGGGCTGCAGGTGGTACAGCGTAGCTGATTATTTATTAATGAAGCACTAAGTTATAAGACTGTCTTTACTGTGTTATACATGAGGTAAGAAAATAAAGCTGTTATTGTTAGCAATACTGGCAAAACATCTCCTGTCTGCACTGGTTCTGTGACCCGTTGCATCCAGAGTGGAGACACAGGTCAGACTGGGGCACCCCGCTTACATTAACAGACCAGGAACCAAAAGGCAAACATACAAAAAAGAAAAATTCACAGGTCAATTTCACAGCTTGAAAAAAGCATCGCTGAAAACACAACACGAGGCCCTCAATTTTACCTCTCTGCCTTCCCAATGCTGTGTATCACCTCCCGAACAAATGCTCACCCAGCTCTGCACTTTACAGAGAACTTTTGCAGTTCTCATCCAAAGTCACTTATCTTGTAAAATCAAGTCTCTGTAATTACTTGCCCAGAAGGTGCTGAAACTCTGCTCAACACTAACAGCAGCAGCTGTTTGTTGCTGGCTGGAGAGATCAACACAAGAATAAAAGAAAAACCTGTATTTCAGTGTTTTAACATCACAAATATTTTCATGTTACTACCATAACTATTGTGGGGAAGCGGGATGTGTGGCACGCAGCTCTGGGGCTGCCCCCCTACCATTGCCTTCCATTGCCACCAAGGTACCCTGGCCCTGCGCTGAAGGATCTGCTGATACCACGAAGCTAAAAGAACGCTAAAACTTCCCACTTAGCTTGACCTTAAGCTTGATCAAACTCTTTGGTTCAGCTATTTGGTCAATTTAAGCCATAAAAAGACAACGGTGCCCCTAATTAGCAATAGTGACTCCAGAATCCTGAGGATCCTCCTAAGGCCAACCAGCAGCCAGGACCCCCCCTCTAGGAAAGGCCCGGCGAGTAGACCTCCCACCGCGCCGCCACCAGCTATTCTCCCGAAGTGACGTCCCCATCAACAGTTCCCTTTCCTACAGTTTTCACACAAAAACCGTGACAAGTTCTGCGGTGAGACAGACCGACGCCCCCGGGAGCCGCGAGCGGCGCCCCCTCAGCCGCGAGCGGCGCCCCCTCAGCCGCGAGCGCGTTTTACAGGGGCTCGGGTAAACGCGGCTGCAGGCCTGCGCGGGCTTTTGTCTCACGAAGTACAAAAACTACAGCCTGTAGTCTATAGAAACTCCAGAGTTTAGGCTGTAAGGACAGGTGAAAAACGTACACTCGCACCAATGTAGGTGAAACACTGGAGAAGGGCTCTTTGCCAGGAGGTGTAATGATAGGACAAGGGGGAATGGTTTTAAATTGGAAAAAGATTCAGATTAGATCTCAGGAGGAAATTTTTTGCTATGAGGGTGGTGAGGCACTGCAACAGGTTGCCCAGGGAAGTTGTGGATGCCCCATCCCTGGAGGGGTTCAAGGCCAGGCTGGATGGGTCTTTGAGCAACCTGGTCTGGTGGGAGGTGTCCCTGCCCAGGGCAGGGGGGTTGGAACTAGATGATCTTCGAGGTCCCTTCCAACCCTAACCATTCTATGATTCTATATTTCTTCAAAACCCATGACCAGCAATTTCCCAGACAAATCAAGGCCATGCCCTGGGCTGGGGGTGTCCATGTGGGAGCAGCTGCTGCCCCTCCAGCCCGGCCATCACCATGGCCTGAGGAGACCCATCCTCCTGCTGAGGAGAACAGCAGCAAAGGCAAGAGACGCCACCAGAGAAGCTGCTGCTGCCCGTAGCAAAGGGGAATGGCTGTGAGAGCAGGGGGAGTGCGATCCAGTGCTCCACAGGGCGTCAGCTCCAGCGCCCAGCCTGAACCAGCACCCAGCACCGATGGGATCCCACCTAACAAACCCTTCCACCGGCCTCCTCCAGACCCAGGCACGGCAGGTGGCCTAAGCACCTGGCAACAAACTGCCCGTTATCTGCATTTGAGTTATTTTTACATTTTATATATTTAGACACAACCTCTAAGCAGAGCACAGGCTCGGTAGTGCCATTTCTTGAGCGAGGTATTTGTAGGAAAGAGCCTTCATGATGGCCCCAGGGCCCCATGTGAAGCCCAGGGCCAACACCTCCCAGCCTTCTCCAGCCCATGGAGCAGCCAGGGCCATCCCCACAGCTGCCACCCCGGCTTCCACTTGGTAGCAAGGTCGGCCACTCCATCCTCTGGTGACCCAACCTACTTGGGCCTAATGAGAAATAACACCACTGCGATTAAACCTGCAAGCAGCCAAGCAGATGTCAGCATAACAGGTTCTGTACCATTTCACACTTTTTTTTTTTAAATGTTAGGATTTTTCTCCATTTTAAAACCTGGCTGTGAAACAGCAAGCTTTGCTCTAAAGTAGTGGTAAATAACACATCAAGCTGGAAAACATTTATGAGGAAAGGTGCACAAGCAAAAGCGTATGGATATATACCTATCAAAGAAATTACATTTATGTTTTAAGATGCAAAGACATTTGACATAAGTAGCTAGAACATTTTTACACCAGTATTTGAAGGCACAGTAGTTTATACAATTATTTCATTTAAAAAAAAAAAAAAAAAAAAGGCTTCCAACTATAGCCTGGTGGTTTGCAAATTTAGTTTCCTGCCCTGCTTCATACACAGCAAACATCAACATCACCTGGGACAGAAATTAAGTTGCACACAGATTTAAAGCCAGATTCAAGTATATCACATGTGCACATTTTCCCCTTTTTCTGACCCTAAAGACCAGGCTGGTTTAAAAGCCAACACTAAATGACACCATGCTGCTCACACACCAAACACTGACACTCCCCGCCTCAAAATCCAAATGCTTGTTTAGTTCCTCTGAGAAAAGAGTCAAAAACATGGAAATTGCCACAGAAGTCAGGACTCACCTTCTGACCAGCTCCTCCCTACATTATGAATATCGTTCTTGACACACAATTTGGCTGAATTTTGCAGAATTTATCTCTTTGATCTAACCCAAATCACCCTGCCTTCTGAGCAAGCCATTACCTTTCACTCCCAATCTTTCCTAAAATGAACGGACAAGACACCGATGCAGCGTTCGATCCTAGTCTATTTTATTTACACTATATACAGTTCCTACAGAAAACGATTTTCTCACAAAGGATATTAAATAGCAAAACCACGGCGTAGCCTGGGCGCGGGCAGTGACGCCTGCAGCCAGCGCAGCGCCCACGGGACGGGCTGGTCCGAGCTCCGGTGGGATGCCGGGTGAGGATGCTGGTGTGGCGGGATGGGACGGGATGCCGGGTTGGGACGCTGGGATGCCGGCTCTGGAGGGGCAGCAGCTGAGGTAGATCCAGTACGCGGGAGGCACTGCACGCTCGGCACATCCTGCGGCACGACATGGGCCCCATCCTTCCGACGCTCTTGCAGCCGCACGGATTCGTCCTGATGTTGCTAAGCAAGCCTTGCCTTCTTGTATAAAAGGGTGTTTTTGTTGGCTGTCACTCTCTAGTCAGCGACTATGTCGCTGGTGTGATCTGCTTAGATTTCACAGAATGCTTTGGACTCCTTTAGGATAAAAGGCACTACGTAAATCTAGAGGAACAACGCTTGCTATTTTCGTAAGGAGAATTCAGATGGGCCGTTAACATGATGTCGCTCTGATGCTGTGTACCATGAAATCACATCCTTATTGCTTAACACATTATCATTAACTTAATTTAATGCATTCACTGTCACTTATCCAGATAATTCCAAAATCTGAGCAAGAAATGGAAAGCATGGCAATTCCGAAGAATTGCATTCTTGTTAATTTTTTCAGAATGAACTAAATCAACATACTGCACCTGAGAACACTTCCTGTTTTCCTCTTCTCTTCATAGGTCTGTGTGTTTTCACATTTGAATAAAAAGTTACTCGTGCTCCAACAACAACAAAAAAATCATCAAAAATGTCAGTTATTGAAAACTGCATATGGAATGCCTTAAAATATTGTCTTTTCAGAACTAGTGTAGGAGTAGCACAAATACTGAAGCACATAAAAACCAGTCATCTACAAATCAAAAGGCACCCCAAAATTAACTTTGTTTGTGATATTTTCTTCTGAAATAGGAAGTATTGTGATTTCTTAAGATATTCCCTAAAAGCTGCCAACATCCCACAAACTCAAAACTTAAGTGACATTCAGATACAAGCTCAATTTTTTATCAGTGTACCATTAAATTCACAAAATATGATTAGGGCTTACTAATGCTGACCAGAGTCTTTGATTTTATGGAAATATTTTCAGTACAAATCCTGACATTTACTGAAAGCCTGCGGAGACAGTCCACGTACTAGTAAAAACACCACCTGGAAGCTGCTGAAATTCTCACCAGTTCAATGCAAATACAAATCAAAGGAAAAGTTTATCTACTTAAGGCAAGTCATTTAAGCATTTCTACCTGTAACCTATGCACTCAGATGACAAAACAAAACAAAACAAAACAAAAAACAAACAACTAGTCTGACTGGAAATAAAGAGACAGTTAAAAACACTGCAAGATATAAATTAAAAAGAAATCCAAACATACCTAAAGCTTGAGCAATTAGTTAAATTTTAAAGCTACGTGAATGAAATAGATCTTAAAATTTAATTTAAAAATACTTGCTGGTGTTTTCAGTGATCACCAGAATCCATCTCACAGAAAGGTATAAAGGCCATTACATGTACACAACCCCTAGGAAATGTTTATTGATAGGTCGGAGAAAGGGAAGCTTCTAAGCACTTTCTGTTTTGGTTATGAATACAGGGAACACATAACATTGGGAATCTATTAGTCTATTAAGAGAGCTTACCTTTAGAGACTCCAGATTTCACTTTACACCACTTATAATATTATGACTTGAGAATCTGGACCACAAAATTTTGTACAGGCAGGGAGAGTCAAGTCTACCACAAAGACTCTACTACAAGCTTTACAAATGAACTAGTAAAATAATTTTTCCATTTGTCTAAATTGTACATGGCTCCTTCCTGGAAAATCTTTTATTTGTTAAGCGCAAATGTGACTAATTAGGAGGTAAAAAAAAAACCCAAACCCAAAATCCTCCAAGCCCCAAAATAATTTCACAGGAAAACCTATAAGTTCTCCCCAAAACA